AACATCTAATATTGAATTTGTACTTCCATTAATAATTAATATTGGTTCAGATAATGTATATGACCAATCACGAAAATATTTTTCATTAGGATTTCTATCAATTTTTAAATATATACAATGTGTTATTGAATTTGAATAATATGTTTTATTTACTGTTTGATTTATAAATAATTTTGTATTATTAATAACATTAATTAAATTTTGTTTATTTGTTGGACATTTATATAATGGTTCAATATGTATAGATTTTGCAACTGTTTGATCCCATGGATCAAAATGTGGTATATAACAAATAGATGATGATGATGATAATTTTTCATTTTTTATAATCGTATTATCTAATATTAATGTTTTAATAGATGAAGGTGTTATAAGTATAAGACGATGATAAATAATAAGAAAAAAAATTATGTTAACACTAAATAATAGATAAAGTAATTGAAAACGTCTTTTTGAACGTGTTGGAATAATTAAAGCTTGATATTCATATAAATATAATCGATGATATAATTTCATTGATGAATCTGACATAGTTAATTAAAATAATAAGAAGTAAATATTTATATTCATGTTTTTTTTATTTATTAAAATAAACCTGATTAACAAGATTTATATATAAAAATTAACTTATATGAGATTCTACTGTTTTGGTTTGGTCTAAAGAACACATTCATATCATGAATAGTTTTTTGTCAGCATATATTTAAATATAAAAAGAAAAATGAGAGAAGAATTTCTTTTTCCCTTGACGAGTACCGATGTTGCCGTAATTTTTTTTATTATATTACAAGACATAACGAAGAGAATAGAAAGAAAGAAATATAGCAAGAAAGATAAAGAGATTTCTTTTTTTTGTTTTATTCATTTATCGGTAAAGCTTCTCTGATCAGTTGTCTTTGTTCTGTAAAAAAAATAAACGGACTTAAAATGACAGTTTATATAGTGACAATAAAAAATGACTGGAAAAAAAGACATCTATACACATTAATTGATGGTTATCGTTAGAAGAGTAAAAAAGAAAATGGTTTTCTCACATAATTGATGATAAATAATGTTTTTGCTTTTTTTTTTTTGACGAAAACAATTTGTAATCGTTTAAAACTAATAAAATATGCAAATTTCTATAAAAAATTTATATTATTACTATTGTGATGAGATTCAAATCTTTCATCGAAAAATTATCAAAATATATTTCTTACCTTTTCGATAATAGACTATTTTATAATTATAATAGTTGATTATGTGACTATTTATTCTATGCTATCTTTAGTTCAGACGACACTCATTTTACTTTCTTTTTTTTTTTCTTTCATAACCAAATGTATACTATACTATTACAGTAAGTAAGTAAGTAGATACTTTTACAATAATAAAAGAACAGGATGGATTATGATGAGTCCCTTTTCTCTCTTTTTTCGCTCATCGTTTATTATCGATGGATACCTTAAGATGCTCTCATATGATCGGATGTACAAAAAAAAGAATAATACACAAGCGTATATGTGCATGTCAACGAGTTGATGTATTTCAATAGACAATAAAGTAACGCTATTAAGATTAGCATGCTCTATAACATATCCTGAGAAAATCAGCTTAATAAAATTGTTGCTAGTCTATTGAAAAATAATTATAGTAGACATTCACAAAATCCTATGATTACTTTTGTGACATTTCTGATAATAAACAAGAAAGAAAGAAAAAGACAAAAAAAAAGAATTTTATTATTCAGATAGACAAGAAATAATCTATTCAAGCATAAATTCAACTAATAGTAGGTTAAAAAGAACATTCTGAACGCTTTATGCATTTGTAAAAAAAAAAAAAAAAAAAGGTAAAATCTGAAGGAAATGATATCGAATTGAATGAATTATGGCAGAAAGAAAAAGATATTTATACTCGTTTTTTTTTGTAAAGATTTTTACTTTGATCATAAACAGAAGACAATTCTAAGGTCATTTTTTTTTCTTTTGGGAATATAAAAAAAAAAATGTTTTATTCTTTTCACATGTAAAATCAACGATATCATTCGGTTTATTTGTTCATATCTAATTACTCGTCAACAACGCCTTCAGAATAAATTAAGCTTTTTGCAATATAATACTGAGCTTCATATGAGCAAGTAAAATGATGTATATGTATTGATATGAAGAAACTATTTGAATAAAATATGTGATTTTGTTCAAGAACGAGAAAAAAAGTCTTACTTTCATCAAGAGCAACTATTAACTATACTTCAAAAATCATGACAGAGTGTGTTGAAAAGATGGTTGATTAAATAATACAGCAGCCTAATTGGCTAGGATGTTATAAAAATAGAAGACTATGCGTTACACAGAAACCTTTGTAAAGCATAGATACATAGCCTAGTTTACTTATAGTTCATTTTTCTTTGTTCTTCTCTTTTTTTTTTTTTAATAAAATTTATTTCTTTCGTTCTCTATTGCAATGACATTTTCTGATTAAAGATTCACAAAAATAAAAATAAAATATAACGAATGTTTTCATATGTTCCTGCATTTTAAAAAGCAACACTCTATTTAGTAGATCAGTATGTTTTATTATACTAAGTATATAAACCTGAAGATATAAATACTAGGCTCTTATGAGAACGACTTTGCTCGATTGCCCGATTGTGTTCTCATCCAACTTTCGGAAGTCCTATTCCTGTTTCCGTTTTTTTTTCTTTTACGTTTGGGAAAACATATCAGTAACATACAATAACAATTAGTGACATCACATTCTAGGTAAAATGGCACGACTTGAAATTAAAAATCAAAATTATGATGCAAAACATAGATGACTAATTACGTCACAAACAATAAAAAAAACGAGAAGAGATTTTAATAATGGTATTAACCAACACATAGGCTTGTTGTTGTGGGTATACTTATTCATGTTTTATGATTGTTTTGTTTTTGCATTAAGTACAATCTAATTATGTCATGTTTTAATTTAGAAAAATCTTATTTTGTTGCTCAATATTTCTTTATTATTTAGCAAATGTCAAATCCTGAAAACAAACTTTATGATACAAGGATCGTAACTCTAAATATACGTGAAATAATTGTTTTGTTTTAATAAAAAGAATAATATATTTTGTATCATTCGATGCTGATTCCAAATATTAAATTAATCTTGAATATAAGTGTTTGTATGCTGAGAAAAACGTTAACTCACTCTTGGAACGCTCACACACTAATGCTTTATAGATGTCATTAGTGAAGAAACATTCTACGGAAGTTTTGTTCAATTTGAAGTTATCGAAAGTTGTGTATAATCATTGTACTGAACACATGTTTTCGTAAAAGCATTTAACGTTAAAGATGAATCGTTTTTTCTTTAAATTCAAAGCAAATAAGAGAGAAAACTTCTTTTTTTATGGATCAACTGTGTGAAAGACGCAGCTGTAGATTATATATAATTTTCTCAGAAGTATTGCCTTCTTTTTATATTGTTTATTCACAGTAAAGAAAAAAAAAAGGTTCTTAAAGCTTGCTAATGTCGGATTTTTTTAAAAATACTAACGACTATTTTTTGAATACCTTTTCAACGGCTCAAGCTAGAGAGGTCGGATTTTCACCGTTAGACAGAGCAATGCGGGGAACGTTGATCTGTATAAAATTCATTAGGTTCAAGGACCATTTCGATAGTTGTTTTCAGATAGATATCTTTTTCGACGTCGATTTTCATAAGTTTTCCTGACAAGTTAACATCAAATTAGACTAAAATTAAGCCCAAATCTTTGCCTATATTGTTCTCGGGTTTTTTTTCTAACGGTTTTATGTTAAAATATGAAGATTTTAGCGCAAATACAGGGAGATTTGGACTTCATTTTGGTCTAATTTGATGTTAACTTGTCACAAAAACTCATGAAAATCGACGTCAAAAAAGATATCTGTCTGACAACAACTATCGAAAAGGTCCTTGAACATAATGAATTTTATACAGGTCAACGTTCCCCGCATTGCTCTGTCTAACGGTGAAAATTCGACCTCTCTAGCTTGAGCCATTGAAAAGATATTCAAAAAATGGTCGTTAGTACTTTTTAAAAAAATCCGACATTCGTAACATTTTTCGACGAGATTTTCTCTATGTTCTCTGACTAATGCTAACAAGAGAAAATCAATACTTTAATGTCGTTTAATAAGCCATATATTAGAGCAGTGTTTTATCCCGAATTTTTCTTCCGAAAGAGCAAAAACTTATTTTTTTAACGTATAGACATTTAGTACACTAAACACAAACTCAGAGAAGTCCAACCGGATTCACGGAGGAGCGCCACCTCCTTAGTCCTTCCATCAGATATAAAACATTGTGTTCGAGTATATGTCATCGTATTTAAGTCATTAAAATGTATATTTTTCACCTAATCTCCACAGTAGATCTTCTGTTTGTGTTCAGGATTGAATAAAGTATACATTGATAATTCTTCATTCACTTTTCAAATCAATTTATCATCATTTTATTGTATGTATTACTTGGGATTGTATCTCAAGAGAAAAAAAAATTGAAGGCTTCATGCTTGAAGTCTTATAAGATTTCATGAAGTCTATTATAATAAATTGCTACAAAAAAAACAAAAAAATCTTAATCTAAATAAAATTTTTTTTTTTTTTTTTTGAAATATCAATATTTATTCTTATTTCTGTTCTTCTTAATGAAAATACGAGAAGAAAATAATTCTCTCTTTTTGATTTTTGGTTTTTATAGAACAATAGTGAAACTATTAATTATATTCAATAGAAACAAATTGAAAAAAAAAAACATTCTCTAGTTAATTATTCATTGATTGAATTATCTTTTAAATAATATCAAGAACAAAACAAAATATTTCATTATAATATCTATTTCAAATTCATTGTTTTGTTTTTATTCAATACATTTCCACCATTTCATATGGTTATAACATTTTCAGACAAGCAAAGTAAATAAAATTTTTTTTTTTTTTTTTTTAATATATTTTATAATATATATATATATATGTATTGCGCGCTTAAGATTTACAATGAAGCGCTTTTTTTTCCAAGTCGAAAATGCATGCCAGCACGTTTACCAAATCGATAAGGCATAGCAGCTCGTTTACCAAAACGATATGGTATAGCCCAAAGACGATTGTCACCACCATTACCAGTTGAAACACTACCACGAATGACTTTGTTTGCATAATGTTTGCTAATTGATTCAGGCCAAAAATTTTTATTATTAGAAATTTGAGGATAATCATAATCATATTCTTCACTATTGAGATTTTCATCATCTGTTAAAGGAATAGATTTTGAAGCTGATTGTAAATCGTCAAGAGTAATATGATGATTTGGAAAAACAACATGTGCATTTCGCTAAAAAATGAATAGAGAATAAAAATGTTTAAGAATTATTATTATTATTATTATTAAACAAATATAAAGAAAAAAAAATATATATAGATATTTAACCTCATCATCAGATGACTGGGATACTTCTGTTAACATGGCCGTTGATGGTGGTATATTGGTTGCAGTTATAAATGTCGTCATGAGAAGAATAACAATTGATAATTGAAATATGACAAAATTTGATAATATCATCATGATTATTTTGTCTTTGAATATATGTATATATATAAGAGATGAGAAAAAAGTATATTATATATTTATGATAGATGAATTATGAAAACTAGAGAGAGAGAGAGAGAGAAAATATATCAATAGCTAAAACAATAAAATATGACTAGTTAAGATGAAGTTATTTGTCAGATTAAGTCAAGAAATACATGAAGATAATGAAAAACAAAAACAAGATAGAAATATCGAATAAGTTCAATTTAATGAATAAATTCTTATTCAATGGCAAATTTTCATATACATGTTCGTTTTCTGGTAGCCCTTATAGCTCAGTGGTAGAGCGCCAGTCTTGTAAACTGGAGGTCCGTAGTTCAATCCTGCGTGGGGGCATTTCTTTTTTGTTTTCATTTTACTATTGAAATTCATTCATTTGTATTGTATCTTTCTTTGATTACTATTTCTATTCATATCATTCTAAATGCATATATATATATATATCAAGCTGACGCCAGTCACAAAAAAAAGGAATCATAACCATTTTATACATGTTAGTATACTTACATTTTAGGTTCTAAAACACACTATTGTCTACACCAAGAAAATCTTCTATGTTTTAGCTATATTTTTTTTTGTGTCTTTGAAAACGAAGAAACTTTGATAGTAGCAATGAATGCACTTATTTTCTAGTAAGTACTTGATTAAATTTATTTATTTTGTTTTATGGAAGAAAAGCATCTGGGATATGATATCTTACTATCTCCTCAATTATAGTCAATAAGTTTATTCTTTTTTTTTCTTATCTAAACTCTTTGTGTTTTTGTCCTATCTTCGTCATTTTTCTAGTATTCATTCTTTACCATATAAGATTTCAACAACACTCGGTTATTGATTCAACCCAATTTTAGATACACTCACATTCTTATAACAATTTTCCGACAAAGCCTAGCCTGATTGATTTCTCTATACTCATATATGATAAGATGTCGAATGAAGATTTGAATAGCCTCAAGGATCATAATATCATTCTAGTGTACTAAATGTAATGTATACTCTCAAAATATCTAGTATCTATAAGAACATTCGTATTAATTTTCAAAAAAGACAAAAAAAAAATACCTTTATATCTAACTTATTCTTAATCGACAAATAACATACATCAATCTTAGAAGAATGATACCGATGATAGTTACAATTCAAATGATATATTATGTGTTCACGGAAGGAATAAGGAGATTCCTGTTTTTTTTTGTTTTTTGTCATTCTAGAAAAGAATAGACTGATCGAAGCAGAAATAATTCTCAATGAATCTTTCGTCTTCTTCTTCTTTTGTGAGATAATAATAACTTGAATTTCTAACGACATGGATAATATAAAAGAATGAGAGAGAGAGAGAGGGAGAGAATAACAAGAGAAAAAAAAAGGAATTGTTTCTTTCGATAATTATTCAACGAAAATGAAAGTTGACTTTCCGGAACAATAGAAATAATGACACAAATATTTGTCGAGTGTTCATCTGTCTCATTATATTTGTTAATTGCAAATATTATATGATAGACGAGTTTAGATTTTTTCTTTTTTTTTCTAATGATAAACAATGATAAGATTGATGATTGAAATAAAAAGTTAACTCAAGAATGTATTTTTTTTTATTTTATTTTCTTAAATAACTTAAAAGATTATTTTATTTTAAATAATAAAATATAAAAGAAAAAGGAAACTAATATAGAATAAGATTTATATACACATTATATGATTTGATGTGGAAAGATAATTACTTAGATTTTATTTTCTATTCAAATAATTTTATATATATATATATCGAGCGTATAGAAATTTTCTATTGTAGGCTAATGTTATTTAATCGTGTAATTTTTATTCTCTATATATAGATAAAAATATCGTGACCAGATTATTCCATACGTTGATCAAAGTATAAGATTTACTCTTTTGCTTAAGATTAAGAAACAATAATATATCTATCTATATCTATTTATATATGTATATTTAGCTACTTCTATCTTATTTCATAATTTCATACGTAATATTCTATAAATATTTTGAAATGATTCTTTTCTAAATGAAATATAATAGTATTGGATAACTTTTCTTTTTTTCAACTCAAAAAATACCTTATTTTGAGAAATATGCAAAATATGTTTTAGAAAATGATAATGAAATATTTTGATGATATATCGTATGTAATAACAAATGAAATGGAAACAAAATTAAAAGGCTGAATAATTTTATTTTATTTAAAAGTGATATTTTAAAACAATACGTATAAGAATATTTAGTTAATATAATAATGTTTGACGAACAACTTTTCAAACTCTTAAACAAGAATTAATGATGGGAATTTAAACAAAATACTAAACTCTATCTGTTAATTCTTTTACACTCATAGGTCATCAAGAATATATTATAACAGATAAGAGTGTCATACGTATATCTTCTATTTTAACATACCCACGTTACCTATTTTACGTTTTGTTCTTCTCTTTCACATATACAGACATCTATACAATAAATAGTACGATTTGTTTTTTGCTTCTTAACAAACAACAATGGCTACTGCTCACGACATGCCGTGTCATCGAGGTATTTTTTTTTTTTTCTATTATTGAAAAAAAAAAGCATTTTAGTTTTTTGAGTATGCTTTTTTTTTTAACAATCGATTATAGAACGACCATCATTATTATCAGCTTCAAGTGGTTATGAAAATTATCGAGGATTTCTTAACCTTCTTTATGTTATATTGGGAATCGGAAGTTGTCGTCTTGTGATTGAAAATATTCTTCGATATGGATTATTAATTGATTTTAATTGGCCTATAAAATTTTTAAAAGATCCAACAAATTGGCCATCGGTTAGTTATTTTAAGTTTTTTTTCTTTTTTTTTTTACTTTCATTTAAAATTTATTCATTAAGGTATTTCTTATTGTATTGATTAATATTTTCATTTTATTTGAATTTTGGCTTGAATTAAGACTTAGTAAAATTCATTTACTAAAATCGAAAATTAAAACTACATTAATATTTTTTCAATTTATTAATCTATTTACAATACTTATTTTTCCAGCTGCATATATTTATTATCGTGAACCAAATCCAGTTGGTGCATTTATTGCTATTTGTCTTTATACAATAGTATTTTTAAAAATTTTTTCTTATTTACATATTAATTATCAATGTCGACAAACTTTACTTGAGAAAAAACATGGTTAAAATTTTTTTTTGTTTTTTTTTTATTAATCTGAATAAATAAATTTTGACTTTTCTTAGATTCACGTAGAAATTCAACTATATCAAAAAGTCAAATAATTTATCCAAATAATTTGACCTGTAAAAATCTTTATTATTTTATGTTTGCACCAACACTCTGTTATGAATTAAATTTTCCACGTTCATCACGTATACGTAAAGGATTTATAATACGACGTTGTGGTGAAATTCTTGTACTTTCATCATTACAATTTTGTCTTGGACAACAATGGATATTACCTATTTTACGTACACTTGATCGACCATTAAATCAATATTCAACATTAGAAAATATTGAACGTTTATTACGTCTTGCATTACCTAATCATCTTTTATGGTTAATATTATTTTATGTTTATTTTCATTCAATATTAAATTTAATTGCTGAATTATTATGTTTTGGTGATCGATATTTTTATCGTGATTGGTGGAATGCAACTAATTTATATGAATTTTGGAATCGATGGAATATAATTGTACATGATTTTTGTAAACGACATATATATAAACCATTAGTTACTCAATATGGTTTTAATAAATTTATTGGTTCATTAGTTGTATTTTTAATGAGTGCATTTTTTCATGAAGTAATGAATAATTTGTTTTTTTTTAAATTTTATTATAAAATATTTATTTTGATTCTTTTCTTCTTTTTTTAGTATTTAATTAGTGTACCATTACGTATGATACGTCCATGGAGTTTTCTTGCTATGATCATACAATTACCAATGGGTTTAGCTGTTAAACGAATAAGTATTTCAAATAAAACATATGGAAATGTAGCTGTATGGATATCACTTATTCTTATACAACCAATTGCTATTCTTCTTTATATACAAGATTTATTTTATCGAGATTTTATCAAAGATAAAATTTATTCTTAAGTTTATATAATGCAAACAAAAACTACATAGATATATATAACAACATTCGTACGAAAAAAAAGATTGACATAATATATATGTCTTGTTGATTTTCTTTTTGCTTCTTTTATAATAATCATAAAGATTTATCAAAGAAAAAAAAAAAAAAAAAGAAACAACAAAACAATAATTGAAACGTGCAAGTATTATTTCTTTCTTGTCGTCTTTACGGATATAATGTCGATATAATTTTCCGTTCGAATTCACAGACATATTAAGTCTACTATTCACTCAATGCATTAGAAAAATAGCAACACAAACGAAGCAAATAATTCATCATATTGCATGGTGATCAACACATAGAGATTTTACTAATGTCTATCTGGCTATTATTTCTTTGTATTGTCTGTGAAAAATAGATACTAATCAATTAAATAACACGAAAGCTGAAAGAAAGAAGAAAAAAAAAGATATGACACAAAATGAAATAGATATATCATTGTTATTTACTTGAACTAATTGAATTGATCAAATGTATTCAGTTCTTTTTTTTTTGTTTTTTGGTTCTATTTTATTCAAATCTATTTCACAGTTGCTTTCACAATGTCATAGAGCAAAAACATATACGAATACATGACAGCAAAAAAACAACAAAATCAGACGCACACATTATACATCTATAATTGAGTGAACATCATCCATAGTTGATTTGGTTTTTCTTCTTCATTTTCTTATTGAAATATAAAACAAAAATGACGCACATATATAATATACGTATATGCATATCGACGATAACAAAACAAAAAATATATAGACCATTGGTAGCAAGATCCATTTTGAAAGACATGCAATAGAAAAACAAATCTGTATAAAGAAACCAAAATAAGAATGAAAGAACTTAGCCTTATTATATTCAAGATCCGATGATAAGAAATTCTTTTTTTTTTTTTTATGTATATTTCTCCCTCAATAAATACCAATGTTACTTATTTGTTTTTTTTGAATGTCCTTTAAAATAACTCAATTTCTTTTTTTCTTTTTCTCCCTATGCATTATGAAGTAGCCGTAGTGCCCGTATCATTAATTGTCGAATTGAAGATGAATTGTCGAAGTTGTTGAGATATAATACCACAATTGGAAAATTGTTTTTCGAATAGACGACATAAACGAGCAATCTTGAATGAATAATAGAGTAGAGCAGGAAGATATATAAAATATATCATTTGAAAGAGACAATAGATTTATTTTGTTTTTTAATCAAGTTATATCTATGTTTGTTTTTTTTTCTTCGATTTGATTAATTTATAGAAAAACTATAAAATTATTTTTCGAATAAGATATATAATAAGAAAATAAAATTCATTAGAGATATACATTAATAAAGTTTAAATGATGAAAAAAATTCTATAAGAAAGAATAATTCCGGTAAAAACTTGATATATAATGATTTTGTATGTAGTATGATGTCTACTATTGAAAAAATATATTTCTATAAACAATTCATCATTAATATAAGTTTCTAAAATTATTTTCTTTTGTATTGAAAAAAAAATAAAATAAAAACTTTTTATATTTTTCTATTCAATAATAATTTCCTACTCAATTTCTAAAGTTTCCTGTTATTCTTCATTAAAATTGATTATAAATTAAAATCAAATCGAAGCAAAAAAAAAAAAGAATCTACGAGAGAAAAATTTAATTAACTTACTTTATTTTTATCTTCCATCGATGTAATTAGTCGTTGTAGAATGCTAATAAATAAAATAAAGAAAAAACATCGCTTACCTGTTGGAATAAATTTGACATACGTGACATAGATCTCTTGACAATGAGTATTATGTATCAATTGTTTAGCAAATGCATCAAAACGAATCCATATTAACGTATTTCGATCTTTTTTTATTGAAATATCTAATAAACGATATGTAAATCTAAAATTAATTATAACAAGAATCTTGTGGAATTATTTTTGCTTTTGAAATAAAAAAAAAAAAAATCTTACGGTTTAATAATCCATTCATATTGATCATTATGTATTGAAAGTAAACAATCAATAATAATATCAAAAACATGACTAATTTGACTCATTCGAAAAAATGAATAGAGTATTAATATTCTTTGTTGATCATCATTATTTATTATTAGATAATTTAAAATTTTTAACATCATTTGTCGTTGTATATTAATTGAAAAATTCGAAAAATGTTTAAATATACTAATGAAATTGAAAAATATGAAATTTAATAATCAAAGAAAAACAAAAAAAAAGACATGTATTACTCAAGAATTGTTATATCACGTAGTTCTCCATTATATCGTATAAGATTTTGTTCAATTTTTTTTTGTTTTAATTCATTATTTGAATCCAACCTATAGAATAAAATAAAAGAATTTTGTTTGTTTTTTTTTGTGAAATGATTTAAAAAAAAGGAAAAATAAAAAAAAACAAAAATTTCCCACGATAAATGACAAAGATCAGAAAAGAATTTTTCACGATATGTTTTCGTTTGAATCGATTCATTATTTAACATTGATTGAATATTTATAGATGAAGACTAAATAAAACAAATTATTATTCATATTTTTTTTTTATCAATATAAAATTCTACCAAACAATAAATAAATTCAAAATAAATTCCAGTTATTTTTCTAGCACGTTCAAGAATCTAGAAAATAAAATGAATAATTTTATGAAAATAAAGTCTTTTTTTTTTGAAAATTTACTTCTGTAAGATTATTTGATATTTCTGGATTTAATAAAAGTTCAATCCAAAGTTCAATGGAACAAGGAAATTCTTCAATTAATGTTTCAATATACAGTTTTGATTGATCAAATCTATTTATGATTCAATTAGATAAGAGTAAACATATTTGGAATTATTCAAACCTTTTAGTTGCATTTAAATAATGAATTTTATTAATATACAAAGCAAAATTCGTTTCTGATAATTCCATCGAATTCATAAAATCATCAAAAAATTTATCTATTTGATCTTGTGAATGTGAATAATTCGATAGTGCATACCAAGGACAAATAAATGTTTCAAGCTAAACAAAAACAAAAAAAAATACATAGAAAAATAATTTTTCATTTTCAACGAACATATATTTGTTTATCAAATCGATTTTCATCCATTTGTTGATAGAGAATTCGAGGAAATGAACCGAATACAAATGTATATAATAAAACTAAGATAAGATATATTCGATGTTCACTTTCAAGAAAAGAATTTGATAAATAATTCTAAATATAATTTGAAAACAAAAAATAATTAAAATTATTGATTTTCTTTTTTTTTTACTTTAATTTTTTCATATGCTTGATCACAATTTATTGTTAGATTAGCATGAAACATAGCTAATTCACATATTGCATAAGAACGACTATGAAAATCAAATTCATCGGATTGTATATATGTTAAATAAATTGATATTAATTCTTCTATATTATTTGTACATAAATAAAAAATCTAATAATCAGTAAAATAGAATAGAATTTTATTCTAATGCTTTTTTCTTTTCTTTCTTACAGTCCAAAATAAATCATAACTTTGTGCATTTTTAAGTGCAGCAAAACATAAATGATGTAATTCATCTTGTGACATATGCCAACTCGACAATTCAAGATAAAGACACCATAATTGTGCATTAGTTCGTTGGGATTCAAGACCCTCGACTAAATCAGCAACAGCTTGTTCAGGTGAAAAATCATCTCTAAATACACAAACAAAAAAAGTTGTGAGAACAATCCATGCAGGATTACATTATGCTAGATGGTCCTAGATTTTTTCCGACTAATTAAGTTTTATAATTAATGATTAGTTTGGTTGCGATATCTTTAGTACATTTTCAAACTCGTAAACTTAACAAAAACCTGATGTGCAAGTGACACCATAATGATTATAATTAGACAAATCTAAGAAATACTCAAGAACATATCATATTTAAAATTTTAACATACGAATCAAGTTGATTTGATACACTAACAAGTATTGGATGAATAATAGAAAGGCTATCATTAGTTGATTGATCTCGAAAATATCGAAAATCTTCATGATAAATTGAAAGATAACGATCAAGTTTCATTCGACCTTATTTACAAGAAAGAAAAAAACAGAAACAAAATATTAAAAAAATATTTGAAAAAATAAACTTACATCGTTGATATTGTTTCTCACTAATTCTTTTTTCAAATATAGATAAATCGATATCAAATGATCGTAATGAACAAATACTATCAATTTTATTTAAAATTTCTAATAAACAATATATTTAATTTATTATAAATAACTATTTTATCAACAAACTTTGTTTATTATTTTCATTCAATTTTTTTGATGAAAGAAATTGTTCAATACGATTAGAAATTTGATGTTGATGTTGACTATTAAAAATAAAAATATAATTCATTTACTTAATATTCACAAAATACTAAAATATAATAGCAGTAACTTTTATAAAGCTCAAAGAAGTCTTTTTCTATATATATATACCGATAGTTCAAACAATAATATTTCACAATTTTTACATCAGTATGATAATATTAGTATTTCAATCAATGCTGTTTGCCACTAATGTAAATAGATAAGGAAAAATTGAGCTTTTAGATTTAAGTCTGACCAAAGACATCCATCACGACTAGAAACCTACCGCTGCGGCGACGGGGTCCTAGAAGAGACAAGGATCCCGCGACGCGGTCCTAGAAGAGGCAAGGATCCTGCGACATGATCCTAGAAGAGACAAGGATCCCGCGACGCGGTCCTAGAAGAGACAAGGATAACGCGACACTATCCTATAAGCAACAAGGGTACCATAACGTGATCCTAATTGAGATAAGGCTATCGCGATGTGGTGAAATATATAAAATGTTTCGCTGCTACGGTGGTTTATGAGAAGTTCTTTGAAAACCACTTCCGTCACTGTGCTCAATTAACTATTTCAGACCCAGTCGATGTTAGTAGACTCCATCCAACCTGATAGAGTCTACTAACAGCTCTTGTATGCATAAAGAAAATTTCTTCGAGCCTTCTATAAGATTTGATAGAAGCTACTGCTACTAATTTTTAGTATGTCCTAATTATATTACTTACTAAATACAGTTTTGAGCTTTACATGAACCTTGAAGTTCATATGGACAAAGAATATGATTTATATCAATAAAATAAGATTGTAAACATGACTTCCAATACTGTTCACAATTTTGAGTAGAAAATCTAATCAATAACAAAAAACTCAGCTTTTAATCAAATTTGTTTAAAAAAAAACTTTTATACTTACGAACGTGTTCGAAATAATAAAGATGAATTATCTTCAGTTGATAACTAAATAAAAACAAAAGATTTTCTTTTTATAAATAATCAAATAATAATAAGAATGTAATTAACCTGTGGAAGTTTTTTCGATATGGCATTTAACCAACTATGATAAGGACGTAATTTTCGATAAAAATTTAATGGACAAATGAGTATTGATAAAAGTATTTGTGTCTATAATATCATAGAAAACAATCATAAGAAGAAATAAAATTCATTATTTATTATCAATGTATACACATACACTGTTTTCTTCGAATACTTTTGAAATATTAGCATAATCAAATTCAATTGTTGCACGTGGTTTAGGAAGAGATGATGCAATCTAAAGTAAAAATATTTGAATAAAAAAAAAAGAAAATTTTTAATAATAATATTTACTGGTTTAACAGATTTAAAAACAGCTGATTGAAGAATAAAATCTTCTTGTTGTTTAATATTTTGTGCAATCGACATTGCCTAAATAAATCAAACATAATTATATATATATATTTGTTTTTTGTTAATCTATTTCACAGAAAAAAAAAATGAAATTTTTCTCACTTCTTTTTGCCAATATTGAAAAAGTGCATTATTATTTGTAATTTGAGTTTTTTTTGTTAATAATTGTTCTTCAAGTCTTTCAATATCACGTGCTAATAATCCATTTTCTAATTTTTTCTTTTTCATTTTTTCTTGAATTTCTCCATATTTAGCGCGTTCACTAAGTAACATTCGACTAGAAAATGAAAAAAATATGTTTTTTATTTTCGAAGTATATTATAAAACAAAAACTATATCAAAGTTAAAAATCATTCATAGCAGGACAAAAATACAGATTGAACTGTTCTATATGGATACTTTAATTTTTTCAATAGAGCATCAAAAGGTCTGTAGTCCTAATAGCCATAGTAATTATCAATTCGTATGCGACGATCTGGTCTAGCATCGACGAGCGTTTCAGGAAAATATTGACTTTTTTTTGTGCATGTTTCCTTCGATAGCTATTCTCTAACGAAAGAATCCAATTCATGAATTTTTCGTTACTTAGTAATGGTAACTTCCCTTCTTTTAATGGGAAACGAGGCTTAAAATTTATGAAATATCTTTTTTTTTAATAGACAAAAAAATATAGTAAAAAAAAAAAAAAGAGGAATTTTATACCGTTTTTCGAATAAGGCACTTAATTCATCAGTTGATGGTATTGTTTCTTGAATAATATCATTTGGTGGCAGTGGTGGTGGTGGTGGTGTTTGAGTTTTTTGTACTATTGTTTTAGTTGTTGATTCCATAGTATTAGTTCGTCGCATAACTTCTTCTTGAAGTTGTTGTAAACGTTTAATAGCTAAACGTTCTTCATCAGATATAACATATGTTGATTCACTTGATTTTTTAACTGTTTCTTGTTGTTGTTGTTCATCATCATCTGTTGTTTGATCATCAAATGTAATTATAATAGGATTTGATTGTGGAATTTCAATATCAGTTTCAGGCTTTCGAAAAAAAAAGAAAAATATTCGTTAATTCAATTGAAAAAGTAAAAAGTAAAAAAATACGTACTACACGAACAATTTTATTACGTGTTTGAATAATTGGTTGTGTAGTTCGAACAACAGTTGTTGTTGTTGTTTCAATTTTATTTGTTAAATTAGTTGATGATACATTAGCTTTAACACGTTTATATCGTTGATTAATACTATATTGTGATTTTTCAATTGGTTTATTAATAACAATCGGTGTTGAACTTAAATTAGTTGGTGTAATTGTTGATAGAGAATCTGATGGTACTATTGTAACAATACGTTCTGGTTCTAGATTTGTTTTTTCAATTATTTTAACTTTACGTTTATTTGTTAATGTACGTAAAAGTTCTTCACGTAATAAACGTTCTTCTTCATCATCATCCTTATTATTATTATTAGTAGTAGTAGGAGTATGTTCAGTAGTTAATGGTGGTGATTTTTCTTGTATTTTTTTATATTGATTTGTTGTATTTATCATAACAATAGGTGATGATAATTCATATTCACGATGATGTTTTTTAGAAGATTTTTTTGAACGTTTTCGTCTTTCTTGTTGTGATTTTTTATGTAATAATTGTTCATTAATTTGATTTATTGAATGATGTTGATGATGATGATGCTGATGATTATTATTTATTGGTTGAACACGAAGATCAGTATCTGTTGTATGATTAAATGATGTTTGCCATAAATCATTTTGAATTGTTGTTATTGGTGTTTGTTGAACGAAATTTGGTCGTGGCCAATTTGTTGATGAAAATGTTTGATTAGCAGGAAACATATCAAATAAAGATGGTGGTGGAGGTGGAAGTGGTGGTAATGGATCAAAAAATGGTAAATGATTTGGTGGTAATGGTGGAGGTGGTGGTGGAAATGGAGGTAATGGTGGTTGTGATATTGATATAGGATGATCATCAACAATATCCATTTGTTGAATATCATAATTATCAACAAGTTTTTTATTATTAAGATTTGTTGTAGTAGAAGAATTATTATTATTATTATTATTATCAGGTGTAATAAGAGAAAGAAGCATATCAAAAACACTTGGATGTCGATAATCTTTATCGAGTAAATATTCTCGATCATCATTATTATTTGATGTTTGATTTGTATATCGTGATGATAAACGATTTTTATTAGGTGAACGAAGATCAATATCATCTTTTATATAACGATTAGAATCATTTAAACGTTTACGTTTTGGTTTAAATTCTAAATACAACAAAAAAAAAAAATAAAAATAAATATGAAAATTATTAAAAGAAAATTTAGAAAAAAATTTACTTTTTGTTTTTTGTTTTTTTGCTCCAGCTAATGATCGTAAAGCATTTAGACGTAAATTAAGTTCTTCAACATCATCATTCTATTAAACAAAAAGAAGTTAATCACAGTAGTGTTTGGTATGACCAAGGCTTTTTTTTTGTTCTTGTTTACAAGTCATGAATGAAGAACATTTTAATGTTTAATAATAGAAGGTTTTGTTTTTAGAATGTGTAACGATGAGATACGAGAAAATTTCTTTTTTTGTTTTAATCTACTATTTCGTACAAGAATTTGTAATTACTGGTTAAGAATTAGTTTTATTGTATATTCATTAACTCATTGAAGTAGAGATATGTAAAACTTACTAGGGAAGATTCCCAGGTGAAGGAGCGCTTTTCAGCCGGGGTTTTGCGCATCTTGTAGCCCATAGTGATCTATGCATATGGTAAAAAAAATTCGGGTTTCTGGCTTGATTCCGAGCTCCTAGTGAATTTTCTCTATAGTATGCCTATATTGTTAGCAAAGCTATACTTCCGAATTTTGACCTGAAACTTTGCTTGCATAACAAATTTCAGAAGCTTTGAACAAAGTCTCTCTAAGATACGCAGCTTTGAAAAAAATGCATAGTATATATATTATTATGAAAAAGGGACTATACCTTGATAGTTTCATATCTTAAAGAGACTTTGTTCAAAACTTCTGAAATTTGTTATGCAAGCAAAGTTTCAGGTCAAAATTCGGAAGTATAGCTTTGCTAACAATGTAGGCATACTATAGAGAAAATTCAGTAGGAGCTCGGAATCAAGCCAGAAACCCGAATTTTTTTTACCATAGGCATAGCTCACTATGGGCTATAAGATGCGCAAAACCCCGGCTGAAAAGCGCTCCTTCACTTGGGAATGTTCCCTAGTAAGTTTTATCTATGGCCTCAGTAAAATTAGTTTTTCGAATTTGGATATATCATACATACATCTGATTCTGGTGATTCTGTTAGTTCACCATCTTCAATTTCTTTTTTATTATTAACAACAATAATATCATCATCATCATCCAGTGTAATTATTTCACCTTCTTCAATTGTTGATTTATCATCAATAATTGTTACGTCTGGTTCATTTTGATTATTATTATTATTATCAGTATTCGTTGTCATATCTTCGTCGTCTGTCTTAGTTATTCGACAAAGTAAATCAATAAATTCTTGTCGACTAACATTGGAATTTTTTACATCTGTTACCATCTAAAAGACAAAACAAAATCTAACAAACAAAACTGTTAATTTTATTATTATTTAAATAAGTAAAAAAAGAAAAAAAGATATGTCATAATTGTTAAAATAACGGCTCGTAGATGTAAGAAAACAAAAAAAAAATTGTTTTTTTTTTTTTGGTCGATTTAAAAACAAAAAGAATTTGAAAGACTACCATAATTGACACTTATTACTTGGATTCATCATTGTCTTTGATCGACATGAAAATGCTTTGGTAAATTCATCACTATTTTGTACTGTTCCAATTATACGAAAACGTGCAGGTGAATGTGGATCATCTATTAAATCATGATGTAAAGAATTTGAAGTTTGAATATCACACCAAGTCTATAGAAAAGTTTTTTTTTTTTTCATCATTAAAAAATTTATAAGCAAAAATAAAGTTTTCATACATGAGCAAATGCAATAAAAAATAATTGATTATTATTATAATTTAAACCTGGAAGACGTAGATCATTATTAGAATTTAATGTAAATTGTTTATGTTTTTGATATGCTAAATACGATATTTTAATACCACCATTATCCGCAATATTTTCACCTACAAAAAAAAATTATAATCAATATAAAAATAAAACTAAATCAAACTCGAGCAATTTATTTATTAGCAATAGAAAAATTCTTACAAATATTCAATCATATTTTTTTTTTTGGTCTAAAATAAATATTAATCTTTTATTAAATAATTATATAATCAAAATTAAAACCCATTCAAAAATTCTCTTTTGTAGATTTCTATAACTCGATAATTACTATTCTTCATTAGTTAAATAAATTAGTATAAGATTAGAATTAACTTTCTTTTTTTTTTTTAAATTTTTATCTATTAAACTAACTTAATGTTCGTTGTCCACTTTCATATTGTCCATCAATTGAAAAATTTGAATATTGTTGAATAAAACATTTTGTTTTTTCTTGAAAATTATCTAAAGATATATTTGTCCACCATGAACGCATATTTCCATCACCATCATATTCTCGACCTTGATTATCAAAACCATGTGTAATTTCATGACCAATTATTGTTCCAATAGCACCATAATTAATAGATAATGGTAAATCTTTATGAAAAAATGGTGGTTGAAGAATACCAGCTGGAAAAACAATTTCATTTGATGGTGGAGAATAATAAGCATTAACTGTTCGTACTGTCATACGCCATCTTAATTTAAAAAAAGAAATAAATAAATAATTTTTAACTATTGTATTTTTCTATTTTTTGTCTTACTCAGTATGATCAACTTTTTGTTGATATTTTAAAATTCTACGTCGATGTTCTCGACATTCTACTTTAATTTGATTATTAAAATATTCATTGTTAATCATTGAATAACCAGCATAACTAAAATTATAATTGGTTTTTTTTGTAATTACATAGCTGTATAAGATTAGAAATCTTTCCACTTTAGAACAGTTAAAATTTCATGTAATTTTTGAAATAAAATATTATGCTGACAAACTAAGTCTTTCAAGTGATTAATCATCACTTTTTAAATCAAAATTATATACACATTTTAAACACTAATGTACTTTGAAAAGAGTTTATGCCTTTCTATTTAAAAAAAAACTGCACTTTTACGATATTACTGTGGTAACACAAAAGATGGTTTTTTGTATCGGACACTTTCCATAGAGAGAAGTTTTAAAGCGAATAGTTTATTGTGAAAATTTTAAATCTTTGAATTTGTTTTTAATAGTAACAAGATCTGCTCAATGGTAAGTGCCCAGAGCTGATTTTGGCTATACAAAACCACATAGTCTTGACTCAAAAGCAATTTATCAGTTGGTGACCAAGAGTTTTGAGCTGACTTCGGATTACAAATTTTCGAAATTTCTATATAGGATTTCGTTTTCTGAATTTTACGATTATTTTCACTAAAAATACTAACCGAAATTTTGGTATTGGACGTCGAGCAATATCTCAGATATATATACTTTACCGCTAAGAAACACCTATTTTCATCTCCTGAGTTTTTCATAAAAAGTGATGGCCGGGGACGGGTAGCGCCGCGAAGACTTCCGTTCAGAGCATAGTCAAATTTTGTGAAATTTTTTCAGTGTTTTTGATACAATATAGATATTATAGGACGAATCCGACTCCAGTTTTTGAGTTTCGAAGTCACATAATTGTATCAATGGGTAAATCAAGATTTACTACTACGAATAAAGTGACCAAAAAAGATATTGATAACACATTTGATACGATCAATCTCAAAATGAAAGCAATATTGTCATTGAAAGTAATTAACAAGAAAATCTCTTCTAATCTCATAGAAAATCTTAGAAGGATTTCATGTTGCATTGAAAATTGTCTAAATTATCGAATTTGGATTGAAGAAAATTTTCTTGTTAGTATAATTTTTTTAATAAATTTAACTAACTGTTCGTTTAATTTTGTTTGATCTTTTATAAAATCAGGATAACCAATTTTTTGATTAATTTTTTCTAATTTTTTCTTTGCATCATTTTTTGATTGTTGATCAATCCATTGAAGATTATTAAGATTTTCTTCAAAACTTATACGAATATTTTTTACTAATTCATTAGCTTTTAATCGATCGGTTTCATCGAATATAGTTCGAGTATATAAAGAACCTAAAATTAATTTTTTTTCTTCTTAATTTAAAAGATTCTTTTGTTTTTATAATTTACCAAGACTATATCCAAATGCATAATCTGTTTGTTTAACACAATATTCCCATCGTTCAACTATTGTATCTATTCCAAAAAGTTCTTTTTTTAATGGTAATTGAATTTTTTCAAATATAGATGATAAATATGAAATTTTATCAAATACAAATGAAAATAATAAATAATCAATAATAATATGACTTTTATTTGGTGTTAATAAATAATTTGTTAAAATTTTTGATATTTTCAACATAAGATCATATGAAAGAACAATTATTTTATCATTTTCATTGAATATTATTGAATTTGATGTATTTTTATTAAATATATCATTTAAAAATGAATATATATTAAATTCTATAGATGTATATTGTTCTTGAAATTGTTTTAAACTCATTAAATAATATGTTTCTTTTGGTTTTTGTAATATTTCCATAGGTACTTAAAACAAAAAGAAAATAAACTTTTTTGTTTTCTATTAATCAATTCTAATAAAATAAATTTACAAACAATAAAAAAAAAATAATGGATATGTTTATCTAAACTAGATATGTGCAGGGTGTGCAAAAAAACCAAATTGCAGACTAAGATTAGCATGCTTACCATTCATTTTCTTTTTTTTGGCTAACCTTATCTTTTATTGTGTAATTTCATATAAAATAAACAAATACTTTTAAAATGTTCTTTTTTTTATTGATATTTGACTAAAATATAGAAAATATAATATAATATTTTAATCATTTCAATTTTTTTGTTCTTTTACAAAATAAACGCTGTTGGTACAATACCTATGGACTTAAAACCAGGCATTATTAAAGAAGGGGAGGGAGAAAATGAAAAATTGTACTCTAGTTTTAGATCATGTGTTACAAAATTAAAACTTTCAGATTTGATGATAATGAACTACTGGAATTTTCCTAATAAGACTGTGAATGAGATATGGATTTTAAAAAATTCCTATCGACTACATTGATAAGTGTAAGCTATGATTTAGTATATAATCTAACAATATTAGTTTCAATCCTCACACGTATTCCATTATATAAAACAATTTTTGCATATCTATCGAGAAACTTTCAGCTTTTCATTCTTGACATCACATAGCTCAGTATATAAAGGTTGGCCAAAGAGTTCTGACTCGATTTGAATAATAAAATTTTCTATAGTGAAATTCGTGTTTCTAGGGAGTAAAACACGCTCTACAAAATGACTTTTGTTGGACCTCACTAGCTCAGATAATAAGGAATCGGAAGACAAAAAAGAAAACCATGGGACTAAATAAGGCTTGAGCATTTGACTCATTTTCAAATCTACTTTAAAGAAACAGTTTCATGAAGTCGGTCTCTAAATGAATCCAATATGAATGACAGGTAACATTACTGATAAAGGATAGTAAAACATAAATTATAATATATCTCAAAAAAAAATTAATAGTACCTAACAAACAACGATGTGTTTCATGTGCGGAAAGATTAATATGAAAAATTTGTTTCCGAAGGTTCACTTTTGTGAAGTATATTTCTAAATCTATAACTTTCTTATTATATGAGCTAGTGAAATCAAACAAATGACTTTCATTGTAGAAAAATTTATTAATTAAATCGAGTTAAAACTTCTTAACCATTCTTTATATATAATATTATTTTATTTAAATATTGACATATGTGATGTGTTTATTTTTCTTAGTTACTTGATGATTTTCAGTCAAAGAGCTACTCAAATGAGCAGTTTAAATCCTATGGTTTCTTTTTTTTGTTTTTCTATTAAGTAAATATAAATAACTTACAATTAACTATTGCAAGTTCAGTTTCAAATTGAATAATATCATTCATACGTTGCCTTGAATCATTTTTTTCAAAACCAAGTAATTGTAATATATCTGAACCAACTTCACTAAATTTTTCTCGAATCTAAATATTAATTAAAAGAAGAAAAAATCGAAAAAACAGAAAATTTTACATTTTGATTTTTTTCATTATCTTTTGTTGAATTAATATAATAATCTCGAGTCATAAGCATAAGTTCCGGTTGATCAATCTTGAAAGAAAAAAAAAACAAATTTTATTTATCAAAAAATAAAATTTACATAAATATTATTCCATGTTGAATTTTTTTCATCAGAATCAATTTTAATTGGAAATATATTTGTATATTCATATTGATTTGAAAATATTTTAATTAAATAAATAAATAATTGTTGCCATGTTTGGTTTTTATCTAAATTAATCCATTGTTTTAATGTAAAATTTAAATTAATTTGAAAAAATTTTTCTAATGGTTCTATTTTTAATTGTTCAGTTTCATTTATATTCATACATGATTGATAATATTCAATAGCTTGTTTTTCAGCATTAGTAACTAATGATATTGATGTTTGTTCAAGTAGATTTTTTAATATAATTATATTTTTTTGTGTTAATTCATGTAATATTGACCATGATGAATGACCTTTTGGTATAAAATTTTTTTTAATCCATTGACCACATACAAATTGATAAAAATCATTACATGGATCAATTGTTTGATTCATACCAGATGAAATTTCATATGAGACTTGTATACATGATGATGATAAACATATAGAATTTTTTAAATTTTCTTTTGTATGTGAATAATAAATAATAATTAAAATAATTAAAATAATTAATAGAAGACATGTTAAAAATAATAAACAACGTTCAAGTAATGTTCGATGTAAGAAAAATATTTTAAATTTATTTGATGAATATATTGAAATTTGTGGATTAAATTCTAATTGATATGGTTCATCAATATCAGTTATAGGTAATATAGCTGCTGAATTTCTTATATTTAAATCAATTTCATTGTCAAAATGTCGATAACCATTCATTATTTTTATTTAATCTTTCGAATGAAAAATATTTAAATAACTAAAACAAATCATCAATTGATTGTACATAATAGAACAAATAGCGCTATGTTATAAGAAATTATTTTTTCATGGATAGTACTGACATCTAATAAAGTAAAATCCAATGAAAAAAAAAACAAAACAAAATGAAATTTTTTATACAATTAAAATTTATATGTTTGTACTCAAATTGATTTTAATATAGCAAAAAGAAAAAATTTATTACAGTATTTCATACACGAATAAGGATTAACCTTAGAAAATGTCACGAGTACTCATTAGTAATATAGTCGTGTTGGATTTCAAATAACCTGAATCACGTATTCGACTTGTAATATTGAGTTTTTCTGAAATAATTACTACAGTTACACGGTTAGCCTGCCCTACTCTAGTTGAACATCATATAAGCAAGATCTTGACTGAAATACATGTGGTGAAAAAATGAACAATGAAATTTCCATATGGATGCCTTGAAAGACTTCTAAATTAGTTTTTCCAATGTAAAATTTGACGTTAAATCTGCCGAATATGAAGTCAGATTTCCTCTACAGACACAAGGATCTAAGTTATAGATTAATATTTTATTTAAAACATATTCAAACTGATCGCTCTCAGGAAGATCCTTCAATTAAGATATCGTGTTTTCTTGAGTCATTCATCTCGATCGAGTACCAAGCAGAGGCAAATTAATCTTTAGTAGATATTACTAAATCAAGATCTTGAGTAATTTGATTGTGTCATATAAATCTGTACCCCGAGATTTGCTCACTTTTCTGTACCTTATATCTTGGCCAAGATATTCGACTAGGGTGATATCAGTCTCTATATTTAGGTCAAGAAATATAGTCTATTTCCAGCTGAAAAACTCGAAATATTAGTGTAAGTGTAATAAATAATGACTATCAGTTATATATATCTCTATCTTCGTTGTCTTCTTTCGTATGTATGTATAAATAGTACTGTTCGGATTTTGTTCTTTAATCATTTCTCTTATTTATCACTTTATCTCTCTACTTATTGAATATACTGTTGGATATGCATTCATATTTTCCGTTCTGATTTTCTTTCATCCTTGTCATATCTAACATTTTCACTAATCGTATTTTTATACAACATTCCCATGATGTAAAATTTCTCCTCCTGTTAGATACTTTAGCAATCTATGACAACCAGTATCAAAACTCCTCTCTCGAAGTTCTTTATCAATGGAAATAGGCATTAAAAACAACATCTCAACTGTTTCTACAAAACTATAAAGTTTTATAAAGTTTTCATTGAAATTGAAAATGACCGAAATATGCATGCGAATATATTACATAGTACAATTTTTGATTTTTACATAGATAAAAATTTATATTCATCGATAATTGGCCGTGATGCATTGCTTTACCATAGAGTCTATCTGATGAATATAAAAAGCGTGAATTCATCAAGTTATCACTTTGAAAAATATTCAATATCCATGTTTGTGAATTGCTTAATATATATAGCTGCTGTAGATACAAGGCATAGTTACAACAACCATGGAATTAAATACTTATAATAATAACGATGTTAAACAAAGAGAAAACGAAATATAAAATTGAAAAATGAAGAGAGTCCATATAAAAACTTAAAGATAAATTAGATAGATTTCTACTTTGATGATTGACTATCTTGGAAATCAACTATAGTCTATGAGATATTTTTCATTTCACATATTTTCTATTAGTTTAGTTAAACTACAGAATATATGTGAGTTCAAAATTTCAGTTTCGAACGGAATATTCTAACAAACCTTTTTTTTATTTTATTAACATTACTAGTTTAGAAAAAATCATTTTTGTTCAAATAAAACAAAAATTGAGCATAGATAAGTTCAGTGAAGAAGAAATTAAAGATGTTACAATTAGCAAATCTATCAGTATGATTGAAAATTCGTCCAATGAAATTTTTAATTATCTCAATGATTGTGATATTTACGAAATATTTTTCAACACTCAATACTCGTTTTCAATATCTTGTCTCATTTCTTCTTTTCAAAATTATTATTGTCATACTATTTTTCTAAATAAACATCGAATTATATTACTTTCCTTATCGAATATATTAGCTGTCCGTACAGTTTTTTCTCACAAAATAGTGCTAATAACACTTTTCAATTTAAAACATATTTTTCTTCTTCAATATGAATTAGAATTTGATAAATTTGAAATATTTATTACAAGTATATCTTCTCAAGTTCAAGTATTATCGATCAATACATCGAACGATACATTCTATCTTAATCCTGATCGATGAGAAAATTAATTTCACCAGCATATGCTTCATTTGTGCAATATCTATTTTCAATATCACGAGTTGATTAATCATTGTACTTCATTATTTTGAACCGACTGACAATAGTTATTTGAACTGAAAATTAAGAATAGTGACAATGATATCAGTGAATATATAACATTTTTTATTTATCTATTAAAATACAAGTATAGACACTAAGAATATTATTATTTATATTGATAAATTTGTCTCAAGCTACTTGGCTTATTGTTGAGGGTCATGCTTATCCGAAATATAGAAATGTTGAAATGAATGAATCATTTATCAATCAGATGAAAACACAGTTTTACTATGGTTGATATTACTCATTTGGAAGTTGGTTTTGGGGCGATATTTGTTGGTACATTATTAAAATTTATTCGATTATTTTCTAACTTAGATTCCTTGAAAATTGCTTTTTGATCGTTGTTAAAACTGAATTGTTTATCTATTGAAGATTCACAATTATTTCATCTAATGAAAAATAACAATAAATTTTACTAAAGTTAGTCTTTAGTAGATGCACAGAATTGAAGATAGTTATTTTCATTACGTGTCATAAATATCGATATAGATGATTCATAGAATATATATCGAATCAATATATTATAATATATTTATTAGTTAATAGAAGAGTGATAAATCGAATTGAACTAAGTTGAGGATATATTTTTCACATTCGAGTTTATACAACAGTTATGCTTTGTCTTTATAGTCGATCAAATTTTTTTAATATTCCGTGAAAAAAAGTTATGCATTTGCAAGAGAAGAAGGAGGTATGGCTCTGAATATGAAAAGGGATCACTTGATTAGAATAGCTTTAATGAAAATCTACCAATGTGTCCTGTTTAGACTGCAGACTGATAAAAAACAATAATCGATTCGTCCTTGATTAAGTTCGAAAAAATACAAGATTATTGAATAACATGTTTTGTGTTCAGAGAATTATCGTCGATAACTTTGATGTCTAAGCTTTTCATTATTTTGATCTTCACGAAAGTTTCTGCAAAATTTGATCGGATCTGTAGGATTCCTTTTTTTAGTATTACATACCTACGATAAAGTTTTAAAAGAGAGAAAATGTCTAAATATGACAGTCAGACTTCTTTATTGGAAAATGAATAAACAAGTCAAATACTCAGACATCAGCCCGAATAAATTGTTTATCGTAGGAAATAAAATTACTTATTTTTTGTTTTATTAAGATTAATTAAAATAATTTTTAATTGATTTTCAACTTTCTTCTTCACTCTGTGGATTCCTTTTTTTTTACATTCAATACTCGAAAAAAAGAATATTCAATGAATCATCGAGAATACTTTAAGTTAAAAGTAAGGAAAAATGAGTATTGCAATTGTTCGATGAATTTGAAGATCACATGATCTCATGTTGTTTTGTTTGCTCGGTGTGAATAAAAGAAATCAACGATGACATATAATAAAAAACACTTTACATGTCTACAACATTTATTTTATGATTGAGATGAGTATACTAGAATAATTTTTATTGATCTGTTGTTACAATTTTATGTAGATCATGTCGGATTCTCATTAAAAACATGAATCGAATAAAACAACAATGGAGTACAGATAAATTATGTAATGAAAAAAACAATAAAATTACGAAGTAAGTCATGCATTTATTGATATAGTTGATAAAGAATTCAAAATCTTTCTACAATTTCATTAGTAGCTTTGAATTGAAAAGCGTAAGTAGTTTTACGTTAGAAAATGGGTAATTGTGAATGAAAATTGTTCTAATAAATTTCTTATTGAAATTTTTGATCATTTCGATGGCTTCAATATTTACGAAGCATTTTCAACATCTGTACTTTTCAAAATTAATCCTTCATCATGCCCAACCATTCTCTTCCAAATCACTGTTACCATTTTATATTAATCGGATCAGAAATAGTTTTACTATAATTCATATTTTTCATTTGAAGGCTCGTTTTGGAAAAATATTTGTTAATACAGTAATTAAATTTATACAATAATTTCTTGATCTTGATTCATTGAAACTTGCTTTTTGGTCACTATTGAAATTGAATGACTTATTTATTGAAGATTCATAAATCCTTCATTTAGTGACAACTAACAACAAAATTTGCTAAAATCAGTCTTTGGAAGTTGCACGATTGATCCAAAGATAATGTAGCCATTCAACCATGATAATTTTCTCGTTAATTTTTTTTCTTTCGCTTCGATGCATGATGTTCAGGAAAAAATGTACGATCATCTTTTAACGTTTTTCTTTTCGATGTTTTTCTCGTCTATCTTGCGTTCTAAGCCATCTAAAATAGCTATAGCATTAGGTAAACTCATGAATTGCGTTAAGACAAATAAACTATAAGTGCAGTTTTATAATCAGAAGCACTCCCGGATGGCTTGAAGAAGTGTAGTCCAATATGATTATCGATCAGAAATGAATTTCTCAGCAAAACTAGATGACTAAATAAGTTTTCATAATTCAAAGTCTTTTTATACTTCTTTTGAACTAGAAATAATACATCGTTACAGTCCTTTGCAATCTGAATTGTTTAAAGAGTAATGAAAGCCTTTAACTTTCTCTTCTCTTCGCCCATATAGTTACTTGCTGCTCCTTGATTTTTGTTACATATTGTATGTCTCGCCATCGAATCGATATGGTGAGAGACTGAATGCTGTACCTACAGAGAAACGCGTATTGTGTAGATATGATATGTTATTTCTTTTTCTGTTGTTCGGGGCACTTTTCTGGTTTTCTCATCGTCAAAATTCTTTATCCGATCACTTTTAAACATGTTACAATGTAAAGCCAGAAATTAATACTCTTCCACTATGATGGAAAAAATGAAAAAGGTAGTAAATGACTGCTATTACTCATATTGTGACCGTGCTTTTCGATATATGTGTATGCAGATGGACAATTGATGTTCGACTGTGAAACACTTGACATCGGCGAGAGGCTCTTGAAAAATTCTTTGTGTAACTAAGATTCGTTCGCTAAACAAAGATACGTTATCCGTTTTTTTTCCTTATCATCCTAAATGTGAAAGTTAACAAGAGATAAAGTATCCCAATCCAAAGAATAAATTTTAGTTTTGATGATATGAGGCGAATCATCGTTTTGCTCTCCTTGTTTTTTATTGTTTTTGCTGTAGCAGATCGACATTTAAATGCTAATGGTCCTTTTGGCAAACGTCATATCATAAATAGTGAACCAAGCCCATATGCCTGTAATCGACCTGATGGCATATTATCTTCTTCTACAATTGTAACTGTATCGAATTTAAATATATCAGCTACGACCTATTCTAGTAACGAGCAGATCATAGTTACATGGACACCAATATCAACTTCATGTAAAGATGATTTCATTGGAATTTACTTTGTTGAGATTCCTTTTGAGGCAGGTAAACTTGTCACTTCTTTACATTTTACTCATATAAAAAAAATGAAATAAATTCTTATTATTCTAGCTTGCGACTATTTTGACTATGAATTTGTTCAAGATCAACAAAGTAGTATGTCATGGCAAATGGTTAATCTTCGTCGTCCATTAGAATTTCGTTACTATTCACGTGATTATAATTGTACAGGCAATTATTCTCTTATGGCTAAATCTTCTATTATTCAACCAATTAATTATAATGAACCAACACATATTCATTTAGCATATGGCGATCGCATTGATCAAATGTTTGTTTCATATTTAACAAATTCATCACAATATACTTCTCAATGTCAATATGGATTAACTCCATCATCTCTGAATTTTTATCAAAATGGAACAACAACGACATATACAGCATCAGATATGTGTGAAGGAAAAGCAAATACATCGGGTCCACAAACATTTATTGATCCAGGATTTATGCATACAATATTATTAGAAGGTCTTCATCCATCAACAACATATTTTTATCGTGTTGGAACAGATGCACATGGATGGTCAAACATCTATTCATTTACAAATCGCCCAGCAAATAAAGATGAATCAGTATATATGATTGCATATGGTGATATGGGTCTGTCACCAGTTGAACCAGGTGCAAAAACCACAATTGATCGAGTTACAGCACGAGTAACATCAAGAAATGTTACATGTTTATTACATATTGGCGATATTAGCTATGCTCGAGGTGTCGGTGCTCAATGGGATGCATTTATGACACAAATTCAACCAATAGCAGCTTATGTACCCTATATGGTTGGTATTGGTAACCATGAATATGATCATGAAACTGGAGGAGATAAAGATCCAAGTGGTGCACCAGGTCCTGGAGGATTTCGACCAGGATGGTAAGTGATTCTTTGAATAGTGAATCATATATGTTTTGTATAATCAATTATTCTATTTCAACATTGTCTAATTTTAGGGGTGATTATGGTACTGATTCAGGTGGTGAATGTGCTGTACCTATGGTTCATCGTTTTCATTCACCATCCAATGGCAACAGTCTCTTTTGGTATAGTTTTGATGTAGGTCCAATTCATATTGTTTATTATTCAACAGAACATGATTTTCGTCATACATCATTACAATATGCATGGCTTGAAAATGATCTTCGTACAGTGAATCGTTCTCGTACTCCATGGGTTATTGTTGGTGCACATCGACAAATGTATTCATCGGAAAATGATTCTATTGGTGAAAATCAAATAAAAATAATGCTTCAATTATATTTAGAATCATTATTCTATGAATATCATGTTGATGTTAATCTCTTTGCACATCGACATTCATATGAACGAACATGTCCTATGTTTCAACAAAAATGTGTATCAGATGGTATAACACATGTATTAATTGGTATGGCTGGTCAAAATTTAGATTCTGGTTTATATTCACCTGTTACATGGAGTCAATATCATGATCAACAATTTGGATATACGACAATATTTGCAAATCAAACCTATTTACATTTAACATATTATCACGATAGTGATGATAATATTGCTGATCAATTTGTACTTGAGAAATAATATTCTGATATATTTAAAAGTTATATTTCTATTTTTTTTTTGTCTATAAAATAAAGATTTTTTCCAGTATTAAAAAATAAATCTTAATACGATTCGATCATTTCATTATACTTTGAAATGAAATTATGAAATATAATATTAAAATAATGAATACACGACAAAATTTTCGCTTCTATATGAACTCGCTCATCAGAGACCAATAACAGTTAGTCGAATAGCTAATGAGTATGATCAACAACATTTAATTATTAGATTGATCACTTCAATTACTTGAATTCAATGTGACAGAATATCATTGGCATTCGCTTCAACAAACAGCAAAAAAGGGGTGTGGGTGTGGGCGTGGATGTGGGGGTGTGAGGTGGGGGTGTGGGGGTGGGTGTGGGCGTGTGGGTGTGGGTGTCGGTGTGAATATTCTCTTCGCTCATATCTACATATACGCCCACACCCACATTCGCACCCACACCCACACCCCACCCACACCCACCCTGTTCGAGATTTTACTTTTCGATCTTTTTTTGAGATTTTGCCTTTCGATCTTTTTCCTTTCGGACAATTAACACTGATTCTGTATACATTGGGCTGTGTCAGTATTTCAACGCTTCTACATTACAGCTATATGGATACGCGTTGAGGAGTTGTATGAGACTTATCTCAATATGTACAGAAACTTATTGAAAAATCCAATCAATCTCAAAAACAAATTCCTAATAGCTGCTGCTTCATCGGCATAGAAACGCTAAGTTTTCCTTGAACAGTAATTATAAGTTAAAGGATAATGTCATTATACTCTTTTAGAAAAACTTGAACGTTTGTGCTAGCTGATCCAAGATGTGGAACAACTAATCCAAGGTGAAGAGAAATATTTGGAGGAAATCAAATGGTCAACTGATGAAATGATTGCGCTGAATGAAAAAGATGAGCGACACATTCAATCAATTCCAGACAACTGTCACAGAACTGTCATCGATAAGTGCAATTGCATCCTTATTTGTCGTCGAAATCATCGGCGTACTGTTGTGGTGCGTCATTACGTTTTTCACTTTTCACTGTGTTTATTTCAAGATGTTTTGAGTGCATTTTGTCTCGGTTTATTGACTAAGACTAGTTGATGTAGACTGATGTTTTGTCTATTTATAGGAACAAAATCCAAGAAAAGCAGCGCACAAGAGTCATTTAGAAAGTCATATGGCACAGAGAACGACAAAGATTCGAGAAAATAACATTAATGAAAGAGAAGAAAAGAATTTTGTAGACAGCTTGAAATGTCATCTAGATACTTACAAAAGCGAACTTCAGACTGTTCTGAAGGAGCCTGAAGGCTACCAAAAAAATTATGAAGCAAAGATGCAATCCATCCAAAAGAACATCGATAAGCTTTCTAGAGATTTCACCGATATGGAGAATCAAGTAGCTACTTTCAGAAACGAAGTCGGAAAACTGTCACTGATACCTTCACTCAAATTGCAACATTGAACGAAAGTTTGCATCATGAACCTTCTATAAGTTCACAGATTGTTTCAATTTTAAAAGGTACGTGAGAAATCTGCATCTGAGAAAATTTTCTTAAGAAATTGAAACGAATGTATCATGTCAAATATTGTCTTCATTTTAGCTGTGAAAGAACCCGTGCAAGATAGCATTGCTTTGCTCACTAGTGGAGATGACAATAATGCCTATCACGCTACGAAAGGTCTCTTGAAACAAGCTTCATTTCTTTCAAGTTATTCGGCTTCTGCTAATACGCTTCTCCAACCTACTCTGCAATATAGTGCTCTTACAACTGCTATTTAACTCAGAGTCATCGAGTTATCTTAGCCGAAATCAATGAACCATGTTATCGCACTATCAAACCGCAGATTATTTTACACCTTCAAAGAATAAATACATTGATTCTTTCATTTTAATTTTCTTTTAAGGGTGTGGGTGTGAGTGTGGATGGGCGTGGATGTGGGTGTGTGGATGTTTCATGAACTGTATTCACACCCACACCCAATATACCCTCATACATAGAACTATAGGATGATAGTGGGGCGAGAGAGTGAATAGAAACAGCACAGTGCCACGACAAACGGTTGTTTCTGTTTTGCCAGAACGTTATCGATGGATTTGAAGATATTATATCATTTTAGTAATTCATCGGAAATCAAATAAAAAATGCATTTAAATTACTATGTTACAATTCTCTGAGCGTGTGGGTGCAGGCATGTCGGGACTGCGTGTAAGTGTAAGTCAGAGTACGGATGTGGGTGTGGGTTATTCTTCTTCAATCATCCAGACCCACACCCCACATCCAGCCACATCCACACCCTCACCCGCACCCCAGTTCAATAATATATGGTGTATGTTCTCTAGAAAAAACGAAATTTTAATACTTTTTTGTGTCATAAAATACGCGAAAAGTATGAATGAAAATCTAATAATGGCAAGTGACCAAACGAAAGAATTATATGAAAAATTCATAGATAAAATCAACTACAAACAGATCTTAGAATACCGAAAGTCTAAAAAGAGCATTGATGATCAGTGTGTTATGTATGCATACCACTCTCTCTGATAGATTAATACAAAGTGACGGAATAATAATAGTTTTGAAGAATAGTAGTCGATGATAGAATATATCGATATCATAATTGTTAGATCTTATTTTGATTTGTCGTACTTTTGAAAAGAGAAAAATCTTAGTTTTAAGCTCTTTTATTAATCATGTAAAGAAATAAATATTATTTGAACAATATTGAAAACAATATGTTGATTTCCAACATCAATCAAACGATTTTTATTATCAAATTCAAATATATGATCTTTACAATATATATATATATAATTAAAACGCTCGCGGTGAGTGAAAGTCGTATTGAGAAATGTTAATTAATGGTCGCGGATCAGTTACTTGTTTTTCATGTCTATACGAATACGCATAAGTCAAAGAGGCCGATTCTCCATGTTTCTCAATCCATTCTGCAATAAATATCACTTGACGATATCGTGGTGGAATGCAATCATGAGTCTTATTTGGCATGTCAATGAAACGAGAGTGATGAATGTTTTTTGCAAGTTGTATATTCATGTCAAAACTTAGAAAATTTTCAATCGACATATTTTCGACGATGAATATCTTCGATCCTAATTTATCTGATGATGTATAAAAGATGGCTTCTTTATCCTTAAAAACAAACAATTTATTATTAAATCAATATGTTTTCAAGAAATACAAATAGACAGACCTGATTCTTTTTGGAATTTTTTATAATAGCCGAAATTAAACAATCAGCTAGAAATGTTGCCGGTTTATTTTTCTTAACTAAATCAAATTGAATATTTGAATGTATGACAAGAGTAAAATCTCTATTTTCTTTATGATTTTGCCAGAAACTAGTTGAGAAAGGTATAAGTACATAATAACCAGCTCGTAATGATCCTGTCCAATATATGAAGCCTCCTCGTTCACATATCAGTATGCTCTCTCGTTTACCAACAATACCAGTCGATGCTAATTCGTCAGCATCACATAGAACGAATGATTGAGTAAGAGAACTACGTGTTGTTCGATCATGACGATGATGTATTAAACTTATATGAATCAACGATGTTCTAAAGATAAATACATAGAATTATCGAAAAATAAAACTGAACATAACAATATACTTACTTTGGTACACGAAAATGATAAGTTATAATAGGTTGAATAGATGATCGAGTAAATTTCGATTGTTCACGTATATCAAAATAATCACTATTATAAGTTGAAATAGTTATTGATGAAAAATAACGAAGAAATCGTGGCCATGATATCCAAAAAGCGCCTGTAGCATGATCTGCAGGATTAATTAAACGTAATTGTTTGCGAATACTTTCTGTTATTGATTCTTCTCGATAATTTGAATAAGAATGAGGATCACGAACTAGCACAAATCGAAGTGATTCATTGCCGAGTGCATGCGCAGTAAGGACAGAAAACGCATGATTATTATGAATATGAACACGAGCATATTCTTCTGAGCTCACTCCAGTGTCACCTGATGATGTTCCAATCAATAATCTAAAATGTAAACTCTCTTTTTTTCATTTTACAATAGATTTTCTTTGTTCAACTTACTTTGATTCACAAGCAGATAAAAGTTTAGCCCAGATAATATCACCATCAAATATAGTATTCGATGGTTTAAGATCAATATAATCACATGGTGCTCCAGTCAATAATTGAAGACCTTCAAGTATATTTCCACTTTTTAGAGCACCATACGAACCAAATAATTTTGCACATGCTTTTTCAATCAATGGCACATACAATTGACGACGTTTGCCTTGAGCAAAGACAAGATGATTATGTTTTGTGCATGGAAAGAAATCATCAACAATAATTGTTTTCCATAAACCATTGTGACAAATACGTACTAAATAAACACCTTCAATATTAACGGTTTTTGTAAGAAGAATATGTTCAAGTAAACGAGATCGTTCAGAAATTAAAGCTAAAGCAGCTATAAGCCAACAATTGCCTAAAACACCTTGTTGAATATCACTCGGTTTTGGTGATGAAAATATTGTCCATGGTAATTTATGATCATTATCGGATGATGGAGCAACGTTTGATATTTGTAACCATTTGGAAACTTGTGTAAATGAGTCTGATCCGATAGATCGTGTTGAATGAGGAAATTGATCGTCGATAAAATGTATCTTATTCTAGGCACATAAAATGATATACGAATATCAGAAAGTGTTTAACTGAATATCTTCGATATTTAAAAATGACTTCATAGTCTTTCCTTTTTGTCTGATAAACTTCATTTCTAATGATTTTCTCGTTTCATACTATAAAACAGCATATTTGTCTGTTGAAATCAATGATAAAAGAAAAAAGTTTACATCAGTCTGCCATTTTTTTTTTCTCGATACGTACAAAATGAAATTATTGATACTATTAACTACCTTTCTACAATATTTAACTATTTTTTGAAATATAACTTCAGCACTGGATTCATGTTTATGTCGACGATCACGAACAGTTAATGACATAGATGTTTCAGATGCTTGTTGATCGGAATTAATCAAAGGTGTTTGATGATCATCCTGAATGAAAACAAAAACACGATTTCTATTAAATTATTATATAAATTCAGGATTTATTGATATAGGCTTTGACGGATGACATGCCTTGCACTGCACATTATTAGGTTTATCATTTTGTGCATATTGATAACGCGATACGATTGATTTCGATTGATCATTATCAGGAAGATCTTCTACCAATAGTTGAAACATTTGTTGACACTTTTCACAAAGAGTAATATCTTCCATTTGGACGGAACATGTCGGACACCACCATTGATTTATAATGGAAAGTAATGATGAGTTAGCGTGTGTATCAAGTAAAGCAGCAGCCATTGTATTAATCGACAATATTATCACTTATGAAATCTGAAAATTTTAGTATCTTCTTCGAAAAAGTTTCAACAAAGAAAATGTGTGTTACATATATAACTATTTTACTAAAAATTACATAAGCTTGTAAATTATTTCAAAAACAAAATATGCATCTAACAGAGTATCATGTTTGAAAAGAAATACATCATACTGTTTTAATGTATTATAAATACCAAAATGAAGAATGACAAGTTGTTCGAAATACTTCACAATGAAACAGGATTTTTAAGAAACAAATTTCACCAATGTCCATCACGGATCCAATTGTGGCAAAAAATACTTTCCGAGAAAACCTATATTGTACTACCCATTTTTTTATGATGATTTCGAACATGATATTCATTTACTTGTAAAATACATTCCTGATGTAAAAAACCTTGGTAAACCTAACCATATTTTTTTTTCGTCTAGTTATAGTGGTTATGATCAACAAATTAAAATCATTTTATGTTGTACTGTTGAAGACTAGATACATTTGGAAGAAGATTCGTTGTTTTTTCTAATCTCTTCACACTCTTACTGATTATCTCGCGAATATTCGGTCATTTTTTCGTTTTATTTTGATGAAACCCAATTCTCGAAGAAGAGTCTAAAACAGATGTCTTCACATACAATTTGACGAGCGCTATTCAATCATGTCAAAAAACAAATTCCATCTAGATCTTTGAATTGCCGACACATTATACATACTTAATAGACTTACTAACTTGTAGGATTCTAAATGATGAAAGCCATTATATGCACCATCAGTGATAGTGTCAAGAAAAAACCGTCTGTCGTGTCGCCAAGAGAAGTAATACTTTTCGTTGTTTTTAAAAGAAGTCGTATAAATGTTGCTGACGAGAGAACGCACCAATGAATCAATGCATGAGTAATGTGGGAATGTTTGATCAACATAAGCGATTACGCTTTTACTCAGAATTGAAAAAAATATTTTAAGAGAGACAACACGAAAGTAAATTTGAAATAATGATGACTCATCATCTTCTTCAATCGGATTATTCATTAAATTTGCTTTTGCACATTATTTGACTTTCTACTAGAATTAACAATTAAGATTCTCGTTGAACTGTGAAAAGCGCTATCCATTGCAAATAAGGCTTTATTTTATTGTTGCACAACACTTGAAATGACGAATATCCATCACGAATTATTTGGTTGCTTCGAAACTCAAAACATAATAAACAGAATCATAATATCGTCCATGTTAGTAATCATTTCACGTCCGCGTGGCTGAAGGTGTGTACATATGTGAGAATAAAGAGAACAGCAACATGTTTAACTCACCACCACCTACTAATCCACTCGATGAATAATTTTAATTGAATTCTCACTGAATATTAATCATGCATGTGAGGAATAGTCCGATAAGAAGCAAACAACCCGTGCTACTTTGCATGTCTCCAGATTTCTTACTGTCTTACAAGAAGATTCCCATAAATGTTCAAATCTATCGTTCCGAGATTGAGAATTTCGACTGAATGACGTTTCTCTTGCCATTCATCAGGCATATTGCACGACGATCAGCGATCAATACCAACCGAAAAAATATTCCGAAATCGATCGACTTCACTACGATAGAACAAAACACAAGCCCCAATATCGAGTTGCCATTTTTCAACTTGTTTTACGTGTGAGAAACATAATTAGATTAACCTATGATGTAGAAATCAGTCATTGATTAAGGAACATTCGTTGAATAAAATCATCTTACTAGGAAATTCGATGAATAAAATATCATATCTCTCTATAACCAAGATGATTCCAGAGGTGTCCACAGGGCAGGGCGACGATTTTATAAAATGCCCAGTCCTGCCGCAGGACAGGACGGAGAAGGCAGAACAACAGGGCAGGACAGGGCGATATCTCCATGCCCTGCAAATTTCACACACGCTAAATTTTGTTTGGAAATAAGAGTGCTTTGGTTTTTCTCGAAAATATGAAGAAAGGGATAAACAACATAGATAGCGTTATCAATGGGCACATAAGGGTTTCATATTTCAATGGTGAATATACAGCCAAATCTAAGTATTTCAAATAAACGAAAAGAATAAGGAAATCATAACAATGAACATATATTTTAATATCTGGTCAGAGTACCATAAGTCATCGAGTCGACTACATTTAATCGTTAATTTTTTGAGCTCGATGAAGCCCAAAATGAATGAATCAAACTTTCCTGAAAAATCAATCTATTGTTTTCTGATTGTAGTAAAAAGCGAATCGATTTCTGATGCAAAGCAGTTGTCAAAATATCTTCAAAACTAGCGCTATCTATATAAGAATTTTATTTATATCCACAGAATCATCTTTCATCGGAAACTACACCAAAGATATTTGATATCAGAAAAACTAAATTGATTTTTGTGAAAGTTTCATCCAATATTTAGAGTTTCATCAAGCTAACAAATAATGTAGTCAACTGCCACTTTTCGCCACAGTTTATGTCGTCAGACTACACACTATTTGTAATTGTTGATCATCTTGTTAGTTTAGTACGCCAAACAAAAATAAAATTATGCAATCATCATTAGCATCTGCTGATTTACCTCTCGATATTTCTTCTTTTCCCTCTGTTGATGTTACAAAAGCATTATGAACCCAGAGAAGATAGACAAACTTCTGTTCGTGAGATCCATGGAAAACAATTACAAAAAGATTACAAGCACTTTTTCTTTAAGAGCTTTCTCTCTTATTCCTAGTTCATTATTATTTGTTGTTAGTCATGATTGTTTTTTTTCTTGAATTACTTTACAAATAAAAAACAGTACTGGAACTTAGATATAAACATTACAATATTCCTTTTGCTGCGCAGGGCACCAATTTTGAGAAGTTAGCAGGACAAGGCAGGACAGGATGAAGTATTATGGCGAGACAGGACAGGGCAGGGCAAAAAATGCGCCCTGTGGACACCTCCGCCACCTACCACTTATTGGTAGGTCGTAGGCGGTCACCACTTACCATCCACCACCTACCGGTAAGTGGTAAGTGCTAAGCCCTTACTGCTTATCTTCCAGTCGCTTAGGCTGGATTATTTAATATGACTTGTCACTTTCTAACCATCATCGTGAAATAGCCTTCTTAAGTTTTCAAGGGTCATTTAAGGATGATTTTTTTTTACTCTTTTCGAAGAAGTGATCAAGCACGAAACAGTATAGATTTTGGAGAATTATTCAGGATTAGGGGTGTCACACTTACCACCTGCCACCACTTCCACCTACCAGGTAAGTGGTAGGTGTTTTTATCATCGAAAAATTGCCAATATAACACTAATAAATGATTATGTTAAATATGGGTTGTTTATTCTTGCTTAGTAATCTTCACCACTTACCACCTACTGGTAGATAGTAGGTGGTGAGGGTGTGTGTGGGGTGTAGGTGTGGGGTGTGGGTGTGCGTGCAGGTGTGGGGTGTGGGTGTGAGTGTAGGTGTGGGGTGCGGGTGCGGGTGTGGGTGTTTAGTTGGTCCACACTCACATCCACACCCACACCTACACTCACATCAACACCGATACTCACACCCACACCGATACTCACACCCACACCCACACCCACACCCATCCACACCCACACCCACCCACCCACACCCACCCACCCACACCCACACCCACCCACACACCCACACCCACACCCTTGATAGATAAAGTGTATGAGATGTGCT